GTGTCCAGGAGGATGATCCTTAATATCCCAGCCAGCCTCTGTAGTGTCATTTAGCCACATATTAGCAACCAGCATTTTTAAAGACAGGTAAAAGCTTTAAAGATCACAAGTAGGGTATTTGAGAATGTAGTTTATATTGTAGAGCAAAATGTGAAAATGTACCAGCATTGTGTTAACCACAGACCTTATTATGTTATGACAAAATGCTCATGAATGAGGAGAAATCCTGTCATTGTAAAGTGAAAATTAACTAAACAGCACCTGAATGTATAAATTTGTAAGGCCTTTCTACGCAGGGCTATTATAAACATTGACAGGATTATCAGTAAAGCACCTGTCATACTGAGCCAGTGGTCCGAGTCACAAAATAAAAATAAACCTACAGGGAAAACTGTAAAAGACCAGCAGTGAACTTCTAATCTAACTACAGGAAATGAGAGAACAAGCCATTTTGTCATATATCCCTGTTCTCTCCTACCTTAGACTCGCATAGCATTACTGACTGACTGACATCAGTGACACCACCGTAATTTGATGCGCCAAGGACTCTGGCAGCCTCATCACAGACATGCAGAGGGATGGGGTTGCTCAGTACTCACAGATGGCATTTATATGATAATTCTAACCACTTCCAGACACCCATGAGCTTTTACACTGGACTTGATTAGATCCAAATGGATTTTAGTAGCCATCTGCAAGGAGGGGAGTCTGTCACTGAAAGCCAAAGTGATGGACTGGTTGGGGAGGATATGGGCAATTTGCTCATGCATTACCAAACACATTTTTCTATGGTGGTGACAAGTTAAAAAGAGAGAGAGAGATGAGTAAAAATGGAGGAGATCATGGTGGTGAACTGTTGCAAGTGGTCAAAAAGAGAAAAGTGTGTAATTGAAAGAAATACTACAGACATTTTGAGAAATACACTTTTTAGTTTTTATGTTGAGAGTTAGAGAAGAAGTAGGATATAACTTTCATTATCTGTGTTATCTGTTTCTGGAAACTGAAACCTGGCTTTGTCCAAAGTTCAAATCTACCGTCTATGTGTTAACATACGTATTTTAGTCACATAGTTTAAAGTTTGTGTATGAATTAAACTGATTAAAGAGCCCATGGCATGCTTATTTCTAACTATTTAATTTATACCTCCAGATTAGCTTTGCACTCATCATAATTCCAAATATTCTATGATTATTTCAAAACAATAAAGAGACAGCGCTTCTCATCGTTCATGACTCAGGACCGATGACAGGTGCTGTGAGTGTTGCTGCGATACACCTGACAGGCTATGCAGGATTTTAAAAATGTTGATCTACCAACCTAGTCCACCGACTAAAAACAAGGAAAAGGCTGCAAAATTACAGAAGAGGATGGGAAAATGAATATAACTTTATTAAATATAAGCTTTAACCTCTAGAGTCCTGAGCTTTGGAAACCCAAGCTGTGCGGTCCTCATATGAGGACGCAGGGACTCTAGAGGTTAAAAAAATGTAAGAAGATGTGTATTACAGCCATCTTTCATCTTGGGAACAGGCATCAGTTGGTGACATTTAAGCCGCTATGGACTTGGGCTTCTGGGAAATGGTGTTCATTAAAGCCTGGTAAAATCAAAAATATTACGTTAAAGTGAATAAAACCTAATTTTAAAGAAATATGTTATTAAAATGTAAGCAAATGTAGTGAAGCTCACAAAAAACTATTGAAAATGGCTCTGTTCCAAGGCTGGATTTTTAGTTATTAGCTAGATTAGAAATCTCAGTGGGATTTTAATTGGGTTTTTTTTTTTCCCTTTGGAACACAACCTGGAAGCTCCGTTTTCACTTTGGCTCTCTATAAGCAGTTATTGCAGGCTTTAGGTATGACTATGATGAAAGACTTTCATAGAATGACACTGGTTGTCTATAAATAAGAGGTAAAGTTAAAACATTTTGCTGTGCAGGAACAGGAGACTAGGCAAGGGTATGATTAGCTACCACCACTGTCTCTGGTGCCATTTCAAAGTTTGCTGGACTGTCTTTTAATGCAGTAACTGTCTAATCCTCCAAAGAGTTGCTCAACAAGCAAGTAAAGTAAAAGCAACCGCTGAGCTTGCCAGTTTCACCAACATGGAATAAATCAATTCTCGAACTAACAGACAACTGGGAAAAGCACTTCAGTACTACTTTTTATGATTACACTGATAACACCCACTCAGGGTATTATTGGCTTAACTCCTCTGCTATCACCCCTGCCCTGTGTAACAATGAGAATATAATGACTCCAACTTCTGCTGCTCCTTTATTGCCCTAAATGACTTTTAAATTGTCCTTTGGTTAATTATGGCAGTAATTGTCACTTTGTGTGTGTGTGTGTGTGTGTGTGTGTGTGTGTGTGTGTGCTGCAGATGTGAAGTTGTTGCTTCCAAGATACTGAGTTGCAGCGAACTGAAACAATTAACAGAAGGGTGTTTGACAAGGGAAAAATATGATTAATCTCTCATACTGAATTACAATCTGTCGACGTCTTATGTCAATTTTAATGAAAACATTTGAAATTTCTTCCCAGTAAGCATCACACCCACTTTGCTGTTGGCGAGTCTTAGTGTTCAGAGGGTCAGAGGTCTTTCTCACCGTCAGCTCCAGCAGTTCGTTGAGCAGTCCGTTGCGTTTGCTTTGGAGGAAGGCGTTGGCGCTGCCGGACTTGACTATTCTTATCCTGGCCAGTCTGGCTTTCTGAGCGTGGGAAGAAGAAGAAGAGGTCACAGCATTAGACAGAGTGGGAGGGAGGTCTCAGAAAATTACTAATGTGAGAATCAGCCAACTCATCACCCAAGCTCTGTAGTAAAGTTTAGTCACTACTGCTACAGTTTCAGATTTCTTTCATTATGTATGAGAATGGAACTATATAGAGCCTCTTTATTTAGCTATATACCTGTACTGTAAATATTAAAAATACACTAACCAGCAACATTCACTACATGGCCAAAAGTATACTGTATACACACACTCAGAGAATACATATAATATAGGACTGTTGAACATTTTATTTCAGATCAATGGGCATAAATATGTTGCTATGAAAGCATCCATATAATGGGCTTTCACTAAGATAATGAAACCTGGCTGCTCAGATTTGCTCCCATTCTACCGTAAGAGCAGTAGTGATGTTGGGTGATAAGGCCCAACTTGCAATTTGCTTTCCAATTTCTTCCAAAGGTGTTGGATGGGGTTGAAGTCATGGCTCCAAGCAAACTAAACACCTTCTTCCACACAAAACTCTATAAATAATTTCTTTAGGGACCTTGCTTTTGGCTTAGAGGCATGTTTCTATTCATGCTAAAACAACAACAGGCCTTCTGTTGCTACAAAGCTGGAAGGGCGCCGTCGTCTAAAATATCACAGGATTTTGCACAACTGCCCCGGCCCAGCCAATGAGAAACAACCCCAGATCACAAGTACACTAATTCGTTGATCTTTCAATTAGTTGGTAGAATATTAATCTGTAACTGTTTTGATAACTGTTCTCTGCTGATAGCTTTTCCCATCTGAGGATTTGCTGCTTGTCCTTTTATGTTAAAGGAGAGTATTCTGAGGTTTCTGACTGTCACATAGTTATTATAAACTTTTGATGGATATTTTTCAATAGTTTCTTACAGTTTAGAAACAAACTGATCTGAACTAGTCATGAAAACAATTGTTACATATTTCATGTGGAAAGCCAGTGAACTCAGACTAATGAGGTTCCCCTCAGTCTAAAACATTTCAAATTGATCCTTTCAAAATGACATAATGCTGCTGAATCCACCTAAACCACACAAACCATCAGAAAAAGACATAAATGCAACATAAAGCTAATTCCACCTGCTGATGTTAGTGACTGAGAAACTGGATTATTACATTAGCATTGATTCTGCATGAGAAGTTGAGGAGTTTAAAATAATGCACCTTTTTGTTGAATATGAAAAAGATCAATTTCAAACCTTGTTTTCCAACATTTATTAGTATATTTCACTCCCAGAAGGTTGGGTGATAAAATGAACTCTATGTTTAACATTTTATCTTCACATCTTTCCCTCTGTGTGGCAAAAAAAAAATAAATAAATGTGAAGAATCCTATAAACAACTGATATGAGTTAAAAACTAAACAGGCACTGAGAGATAAGTAATGTGAAATAAGTTGTACTGGCAATTTTTCAAAATGAAGAGGATATTAGGACAAGTCTATATGACATACCACTGCCTCAAGTGCTTCAGGACATGCAAGGTGAGAGATTACTTTAACCTTGTGCTGCTGCTTTCTTTCTCCCACATAAATGCATTTCAGAAATATGAGTCAGAGCAATACCTGCTTCACAGACATGAATCAAATGTGATGAATTTTGGATGCTTCAGAAATTGTTTGGCGCATCTGTAGCTACCTGTGAAGGTATGAGGAATGCTGAAGACAGATGCACAATAAGAGCACTGTAGCCTGCTTCTTTGTTTGTAGCTTCAGTTAAAGCGTGAATGAATCAGAAAATGAAGAGGCTGTGCTATGCTGTCTTACTTTCTTGTTGATCAAAGGCTCTATGTGACACAAGGAATGTAAAATATATGAAAGAAAATAAACTGTTTGTCTTTGTGGCCTCTTTCTTTCTACTCCCTCATCTGGCCTGTTTCTGTTGCTCTCACTCCTGTCATCTTCTTTTGCCCTCATATCTCTGGTATTGGGTTTTTTGCCCCTCCTCTGTTACCTGCCATCTCCTACTATAGCGCCACTTAACTTTGCTGTCCCATTACTTGTATGACCTTAGTCCATTTACTGTCTCGACACTCCCTGGCACCATGATGATGGCTACACTGCTGCACTGTTGATTTGTGCAAGAATAAAAAGAAACCTGTCTTCTTCTTCTTCTGGGGAAGTATTCTTTTTGACTTATCAGGGAATTAGGCACCTTAATATCAGGGGCTGTTTCACTGGCTAGTCATGCCCTCTGTGGGTGACTGAACATGAAGAGGAGCCATTGTACTCTACACTGAGGCACACACACTAAAGTCGTGAGTCGAGAATGATTATCATTAAATCCAATTTAGAGTCTACTTTCTATTTTCTGACTGTGAAGCCAAGATAGGTACATGAGAAGACCTTTTTGTAAAGTCAGATCCCCAGATGACTACATAATTGTAATGGGGCCCTGGAGCAGTCTGTTGTTAGAAAAGAACGAAGACGAATGAGACCTAGGAGAGGAAGGGAAGGCCAGGAGAAATGCAGTAATAGAAGGAGGGAGAACAGATGAACAGGTTTAATCTAAAACAGAGCTACTTGTTTCCCTGTTTTTTTGCTTTTCTTTTTCTTTTCTTTGAATGTACTGTAGTAGCAGATTTCTGTTTTGTGCTGAATAAAAATATCACAGGTGCAGAGTAATGCCTTGGTGGTTTGGCAATTTGTTGTGGGTATTTACCTGATAAATACAAGGGAAGAACATAAAAGTACACAGACCAGCACAGCAAAGTAACTGCTGCACGCAGGCTTCCTCTGCACCTGTAAAAGGTACTGTACTTTCCTGGATGGGTAAAGAATGTCCTAATGTCCTACAAATATTTTGCGCTGAAACAATAACTTGTCCAATTGCAACAGACATGCACCTTTCTGTATAGTTTATTTATCATTACAGATATTTGTTTTTCATTGCTTAGAGGATAATTGTGTGGATGCGGAGTCAGCAGCATCCACACTATGTTATCCTGTTCTTTGTATTTTCTAATTTCCTCCATATGATTTTTGGCAATACATTGCTCAAAAATAATTGCAATATCTATTTTACAATGATAAATGGTTGTAATGATAGATATGATATGACACAACTACTCTAAAATTACAAATCTGTTTGATTAAATGCTAAAGTTTGACCCACTCACTGCCCAAATCTAACAACTTGACACAAGGAACAGTAAAGTCTAGTGTTCGATATATGAGCAGTATCAGTTTGTGCTATATATCGGGCCAATGATCTTCTCCATAAACATAATACATTTCCAGTGAGAGTGGGTCCTCCTTGACCACAGCAAAAAATCTGCAATAAAATGATTTTTTAATTTTCATTTAACAGCTTAATTATTAATTATAATTAATTTGTCGTTTATAGCGAGTTATGTATCCCAGAGTTTCTCTTTGTGCTGATTTAATGGGATTGGTATGCCTGAGGAGCTGCTAACGCTAAGAGAACCTCATCACTGAGAAGTTTTATAGTCCCATCATGGTCCACAACATGTTTTACAACCACTGCTAAGAATGAGGAAAATTAAAAACTTCCTTCAGAGGAGATCCTTAGAACCAATATAGAATAATCATTTGTACAAATGCAGATTATCAAAGGGCCTTTAGAAATACTGTTAGTGAAGAGTGAGAGTAAAGGTACAGCAGTCTCAACAAAACCCACTAGAATAAGCCACATAAAGGTGAGATTTGTACTTTATTAGAAGTATTTCCAAACATCGTTGTCTACTTTTCCAAGATAAGAGACTGTCGCGACAACGTGACTGGTTTTCGTTTACCCACTGTTTCTGCGACATGCATCCATCGGGACTAAGAAGCTAACAAAAATGCACGGAGAAAACATTTCAATGAGGCTTTATATATATAAATCATTCACAGTGTAGACTGGCACACATCAAAACACACAGTAACAACATGCACTGTGTTTAACTGAAAGGGGAAGCTCAAAGTTGTTGGTAAACTAGGCTATAACCATGTCTCAGATAAAAATGTACCACAATTATACATAGAATATTTTTTTGGGGGGGTCTGAAGGGCAACAGATTGTCTCTGTGTGTGTGAAAACTGTGGGATGAGGTAGGTTGAAGGACAGTGATTTGCACTGCAGACGTAGTGTACCATGCCTAATTGGGATCAATCCATTTCAAAGAAACTCATCTGTCATCAACCCACTGCCATTATTGTAATGATCTGGATATAAAAAAAGACCTTGAAAAGGTTTTTCAGGCTTAACCATTAGTATCCACCCACCTAGTGTTTTTACTCAGCACTTCAACTTCCCATTCATTCTCATTAACCTAATAATATGTATCTGCTAATAGCTATCTGCCACTTTGTCCTTTAGAATATCACAAGTGTGTAGTATTAATGGTCAGATAATACAGTATGTATGTGCCTACACTCAACACAAACTGGCACAGAATCCTGCAACTGGGGTGGCTAAAAACATTGATTTTACCTTCTGAGCGCGGCGTTTATCTGCTCTCTGGTTCTGGTGGTAGATGCGGCTGAAGTTTGAGACAATGACTGGGACAGGTAGAGCGATCACCAGCACACCACTCAGGGAGCAGATGGAGCCGAAGATCTTCCCAGCGATCGTCTTTGGCACCATGTCTCCATACCTAGAGATTGATTTTGATTGATTTGATTGATTTGATTTATTCATTCAAGCATGTAAAACAGTTGATATGTCAACACATGTAATTTCACACATATCCAATAATAATAATTCAATATCAATTTACTTATACCTAGTACATGCTTGAATGGAGTAGGAAGAAGTTAGACTTATCTAGTCCTACCCCATGACATCATTTTACAACTTTTAGATGAGATAGATGAGACAAAAGCTACGTTCGCATTATGTGCTGAAGTCAATCAAATCCAATTGTTTTTTTCATGGATGTGTAAACAAACCAAATCAGTTCTTTTTAAGATAAGCCACATGCGTATGTGGTCCTAGATCAGATTCATATCCAGTCTCTGACAATACAACCTCAGTCTGAACGGTCAGATTGGAATTCAAGTGGTTTATTTAAGTGTCTCATTCCTCTGTGCATGTCGTCTGTCATCATCATTCAGTGTCAGCTTTTCACAGATCGGTAAAAATTTATATAAGGAAAGCAGGTATGCGGGTCTCTGGAGAGAGGAGGATGTTTCACATGTGTTGGACACGTGGCTTATATTCAGTTAAATCTGTGCATGCATGGCAGTTTAGGGACTCAGTAGTGTGCTGAATGGAGCTGTACACATGTCACTTGCAAACATGAATGTGAACGATGAACAGAAAATGATCAGATCTGAAAAAAGATTAGAATTGAACTTTTAAGGATAAAGCTGGTCATTTTCTATATTAACAGTATTTTAAACACTCCCTATACAGAGACTAAAACCAACAATCGCTGTTAAAATCTGTCAGTCCTGGATTATATTATTTATCTGGATAAGGATAATCACCTTTATTGGCCAAGTATGTTACACACTAGGAATTTGTTTCTGGTACAGAACCGACGGCAGCCATCTGCGGCACCACCTCAACCGATGGCTCCAAATGACCACAGCTTTTTACAGCGTCTGAAGTAAGCAAGAGTCCAGGGCCAATACATAAGATCTCTGGATATCAGTAACAAATATTAGAACTATCAACACTATGGCGGCTGTTTACTCAACCTTTTGCAAATTACCATTAGGCACAGAAAATATCATGGTACCACAATATTTTTGATTTAGCTGCATATTTACCAACACTGATGATGTAAATGAGCACAGCTGCAGCTGTGTTAATTTGAAAACACCCCTGCTTCAGCTCTGCTGCCTGAAGGCTGTTGTGCACATGTGGATCGAGAGGAAGTGTAGAAGAAAGCCTAAGTTTACAGCAATCAAACTTTAATATGGTTGAAGAAATCAGCAAACACATTTCAGAACTTAAATTGTGTGGTCTCCTGTCAAATTATCTTTTCTGTCGTTCAGTAATCAAAGCATGATTTGACTTGAAAGCCTGTAAAAGTCCCTCTTATTCTGCTCTGGTGAATGATGTGATTCAGAAACATCGTCTCCCTCCTCAAACATGTTCTTAACTCCTGAGTGAAAATGAAAATCGGAAAAAACAAAACTTGGAATTTTTTTTTATACACTGACACTGTGAGGCCTGCTCTTGATATTGAACAAATACTACTCATCACATGGACCCAAAAAGAATGGCAAAAGCAGCAATAACAGAAAGGGCCCTCACTTCAAGTCCTGACAGTGGCCCATGTTACATATGACTAGTGGTTGATAGAAACACCACAGGGTTCAACTGACTCAGAAGAGACAAATAAACTGCCATCATGTATGAAAACAACAAAGCTATGGGTGTTCAATAATTTATGCAGTCTTGTCACACCCTCTTGTAAGAATGCAATGACAGATGAGAGACAGAAAGGTACACAGTGATTTTATCTTGCCAAGAACCTTGGAAATTTGCTTAAGAGTGGCAACATAATTACTGCCTCAGCATTTCCATACACAACCACTGTCTCCCTCTCCACCTTAGCTTTTTTCCCTAGTGCGGGGTCTGCTCAATCCATCAGCTGTGACACACCAGATAAGCAACCGGTTTGTCGTCCCAGCGTGACGTCAGTAGCACACTCACACACCGGTTATGTCACTGGGAGCACTCCAGGGTTCAGTGTCTTGATCGAGAACACTACAGCATGTGCACTGGAGGAGCCAGGAATTGAACTGTCAATCCTCTGGTTAGGAGACAGCCCGCTCTACCTCCCGACCTGCACCTACTGTATAGCCGCCTCAACCACCGTCTCTGAGAACGCTAAATATTTAAGCTCACTATAGAGTTAAACCTGCATTAACTTACTTACAGCGACCACATTTAGGAACGGCAGTCACAGTCAAATCATCTTTTATTATGTTCACATTCCCTTCTGGTAAGCGATGGGATTTACAAACACCGATGAGATCTCATATGACTAACAGCTGCCACGCTGACATCGGGGCTGCAAATTTTACAGCCGCTTTCTCCTGACCTTAAACTTCAGCCGCAGTTCCCTTTGTCAGGCACTGAGGGTATTTGTATGGTATAAATTTCCGTTCTCTCCTCCCTGACCTTTTTGTCCCTAAATAGGAATGTCTTGAAATACATCTTGCATGAGACCCAACATGCAAATTACTGCTGTGCTGCATTTCTTCCATTTCTCTGTTGAAAAATCTCTGTGACTCTTTAGTAAACATGAACACATGTAATTTCACTGCTGACCACCAGAAAATGAGCAGCAAAACCATAGGAAATATCCCCCTTCAGTATTTTAAAGTGCAGGAAGAAGTGAATAAGTAAGTAAAAAAGTGATTTCAGTCAGTTGTTTTCCTGTTTTTGTTGCCCAATTTAACTTCTTCTGATATTTCGATTACACAGGTGAATGGCTGCTGTAACAGTTGGGAGTGAAGAGAGAGGACCACTGGATAACAAAGCCATGTCTCTGGGGTCTGGGGCCAAGAAGAAACTAGGATTCACTTGCTGAACAAAACTGTGGGTTGCGGGCAGTGGAACAGATTGATTTAAAAACACAGATTTGTGGAACAAGCTTGTACGCAGGTGGGAAAAGACTGAAATTGTCAGCTTGAGAGGCTGCTGACATTTGTTGTTTTGAGAAGAAAACAGTAATTCAAAAATAAGGGGTGGGGGGGGGACAGCAAGCTGAAGAGATGTCCTTTTCATCACAGAGAGGTAAGTGCATATTCTGCATACTGTACAGCCAAAGTCCTCGACCAGCAAATTTCCCCAAGAACCACTTTAAAGAAACAGAAAGCACAGGCGTTTGATGTTGATCCACAAAGTTTCACTAGAACACTTGCACTTGTCAAAAGACCTTTTCTCTCTGGCTTCCTCTCTGGCTGTTTGGCCTCTTTGGCTCCCCTGAGTTTCCTCTCCACTGCATTCTCGACACAATGAGATTCTTGACAGGTAAACCCCATGCACTGTTGACCACTGTGCCTCTTGAGGGTTGCTCTCTGACATGGGTGCTGCTACTCCACTTTTCTGACTGTTATTTTAGTTTATTTTTTGGCCCAAAGCTCCCAGTCTCCATGCTGAAAACCACTATCATCACTGCTTTCTACCCACAAACTGATGAGCTGAGGGGTTATCCCAAATCCAACCTTCTGTTCTGCCTCAAGAAATAGGTGTGTGAGGGAACACGAGTCATTTTCAAAGTAGAGATGAGCACAGACCATAACTATTGACACAAACGTGTTGAACAGTATTTCTTTTCCATTTGGATGACAAATGACAATAACTGATCACATTTCAAAATCAAGCAAAAGTTACCCCTAAATGCTCAAGTTACTGCACTGTAAAATATAACTGTACAGCTATCAGCTGACCGTGTGCTAAACAACACCTCTCAAGTCAGAGCATAGCAACTATAGACTTCAAACTTTTCCCACAGTGAAGTACCATGCATAGTGTCCAGTAAGCTAAATACCGTCATCTAAAGACATTGTAGGTTGGTGTATTTTATTAGCCTTTCCAGAACCAAAACACAAGAGCAAAAGGATAAAGAATGTAAACTTTATTTCCAGCTAATTCACTCAGTATTTAAAATGGCCATGCTAATGTAACATAACTTACAACGCCAAGCGGCGTTACATTAAATGACATTACTGTGGGATGCTACAGTCAGAAAAACTCTTTTCAGGACCGAAAGCCGTTGTGTTTTATTTACTGGTTCATATAGCTTCTAGCTCCTCCTGTCTTACTACTGTATTAGAATGCAGTGTAATGTACAGTAATGTTAGCAGCTTTTAAAAAGTTGACATTACTCCAAAAATCCTGACCCAGTTGTTGATATAGCCACATTGGTTAGTCCTCATCTTCAAAGCTGCTCTTGTAACTAAAAGTGAAACATACTGTTTGAATATAACAATTAAGCACAAATCTCATAACTGTCATAGTCTCCAGGTTGCATTTATACAATTCTGTAAGCTATTCATATGAAAAGGACTAAGTTTTTTCTATCAGATGAAAGTGTAGGGTTAAGTATCTCTGTCCTCCAATAGAACTATTATCTCCATGCCTTTAAGAACACAGAGCTTGACAGGTGTAGCCGCTACATGTAGCAAACATGATGTCAAACTCTTCCTTCTTTAGAGAGTAAAACTTTTCTCACATTTGGGGAACTCGTTGCAGGCAGGCTGATGTGTACTGCAAGCACAGACGGCTGAGAGAGAGAGAACTATAAAGGATTATTAACAGACAATGGAGATTTGACCTCAGAGCTTGTTGTTATGGTATTCGAGTCCTGCTCCTGGCTGTCAGACAATCAGACAAATGACTTCACACTTTGCTCTGCTCCCTGTTTATCAGCTGATGAGAGATGACATTCTCCTGACTCTGACTGCTTTGTTGTGATAATGTTTGAGACTTCATACCCACTATGATGTATCAAGCATCATTACAATTGCGATATGGTTGAATATTCAAAACCTTGCTCTTTGCAGTGTGCTAGCTCACAACAGTCATGCTGTATTTAAAAGAGATGGACACCAAAACACACAAAAGTGATCACCTGCTGAGACCAGCTACTTTCTATCATTGTGAAGTTTATATACAGCTGCAATTTGCTAG